AAAGTTCAGTTCAGTTCAGTTCATAGAAACACTAATATTAATAGATTAGATTTAGGCTTTTGTACTACTAGTAATATATTTATTAAAAGCTCTAAAAAATCTAAAAAATTTTTTTCAAAAAAATTTTTATATACAATAATCAGATAAATCTTCTAGTTTAATTAAAATTAAATTATTTTAAAGTTTATAATAAAATTATTGAAAAAAAACTTTATAAAAATTTTTATTTTAAAAAAAATTTAATATATTACTAGTAGTATACTTTTTAAAATTATTTTAATAATAAAATTATTAATAAATTTTATAAATTAAAAATTTAATTATATAAAAAATACTGTTGTTTTTAAAGGTAAAGTGTATGTAGATCATTTTTCATATAATCTATGTGGTATATTGGATTTTTATATAGTAAATAAAAACATGCTCTAATAAAACTTTTTAATATCTTAACCAATTTGTATAAAATTTATATAATATATAATTTAAACAGTTTATTTATGGTGCAATATATATTACTTTAAAAAAAACTAACTTCACATATAATTAAATTTTTCTAGGTCGCTATATATTTTTCCTAGATAGTACAAAGAAATTGCTAATTCTGATTGGTCAAATCATATTATATTTACATATAAATCATACGATATCATATAAAATTCATTATACAAAGTTGATCTACAATCTATTTTATATGAAATTAAAAATTTATACACCCTATCCAAAAATTATTAATTATATTGTAATAATTATTACTTGTATTATAAGTCTAATTTAGAATTTATTATGAATCTATTGCAAATTATTATTATATTTAGTAAGCTATTTTACTTTAACTCAAATTTAAAAAAAATTTTATTAATTGGATTTTTTTAAAATTTTAATTAAAGTTGTAAATTTTTATACTGTATATTAATTTTAATTTTGAAGTTTCTTTAATATTAGTATAGTTTATCTTAAATTATATTACTTTAAATTTTAAAAAAATTATATCTAGTTTTTATATATAAAATATTTATATAATATTTATTAATAAAATTTTAAATTTAAATTACTTTTTATATATTAATCTAATTTAAGCCAAATTTTATAATTTAAATTAACTTTACAATTTTTATTAAGAATTTAAAGAAATTTATATAATAAAAAAAATTTAATTGCTAAATATATTTTATAGGATAACTAATAAATACTATAGAAAATTAGTTTAAACTAAAATTTTCAGATTACAAAAAATTTCTATAAAATTATAAAAAATAGCTATAGCTTTCAAATAATAAATATAAAATACTTCAGATTGAAAATATTTAAAACTTGTATTTAATAAAATAATTAATTGACAAATCGTAATTAAAGAGTACAAAATGATTGACATTTATTAATTATAAGTGACAGGCATTTAATAGTGAAGTTTTATAGTATTACAAATGGTGAAAGATCATTTCATTTAAAATGTCAAAAAATAAAAAATATACAGTACGACTTGCAAACAAAGGGCAAATAAACTCAAATCTCCATTACGGACCATATGTTCGAGATTGGTGGATTTCAAATCTAAAAATTGCAAATAATAGTGTTTTAAATCTTCCTTTTCGTCTTTTATATGAGTGTAATAATAAGACTAATATATTAAATGCTTTAATACCACATTAGATTAGCCATAGCATTAAACGATATATTCGAGTTGGTTTTGACTTGATTGAAGGCGAGAATATAGTCGAGGCAGTGAAAGGGCTTTCTGGAACATCGTTAGCCGAAATTAAAATAAATCGTGATGATAGAAGTAGTGGATCAGAAGCTGAAAACATTGAGTTAAATCAAAAAAAAAAAAAAAAAATAGAAATTCAAACCAAAAAAAAAAAAAATTCAAAACCATAACTGGAATTTCAAAACTGTATTGCTGGGAATGGCTTGTGGAAAGGCTGTTTGCTAGATTTATCTGTGCTAAGGAACTGTCTTATATAGGGTTATGGAAAAATTTTTCATCCGCAGAATTTAGTGCATCTCTTATTCGTCCAAAACCCATAGTTTCGGCATACACAGAACCCATATCTAATTGGACTATGCCAATCCCAACAATAAAAGATATGTTGTAACATATGAATAACTTGCTAAAAAAAAGGTAAAAATAAAAAATTGGTGATAAATTGCAGTTCCTTCGAATAACGTAATGAGTGAAGATATCGAAATAGAAGGTAAGCAATAATTTTACAACTCTGTTTCAATAAGCTACTGACTTATATTACTTGTGAGGCAGACGTTATAAATTTCAATGACGAGGAGGATTATTCTGAGATGGATATTGAAGGTAGGAACTATTTACTTTAGTTTCTTGTGGTAATTTGTACGTGGTAAAAAAAATAAAATAATGTTTTTTATTTTGTATTATTCGTTTAGAAAACGATGCTGGTGAACAAGATGCATTCATTCATTTTCAAGAATCTACTGGAATGGAAAATTCTGATGGAATTGAAGTTGAAATAGATGAACAAAATTTGTTCGCCCACTATCAAAAATCAGCCTGGATGGATAATCAAGGCTCGAATTTGGATTAAGTTAAAAAATAAAATGATAATTTGTTTACTTACTTTGTAATATTTATTTAGAAAATGAAGCTGAAATGAATGAACATCAAGCATTATTAATTTTCAAAAATCTGCTGAAACAGAGGAGTCCAGCGAAATTGGAGTTAAAATAAATGAACAAAATACATTCATTTGTCACCAAAAATCTGCTAAAATGGGAAATTCCAGTAGCATTGGAGTTGAAATGCATAAACAAAATGCATTCATTTATCATCAAAATTCTGCTGAAATGGGAGATTCTGATGGAATTGGAGCTAAAATGAATGAACATAATGCATTCATTTATCATCAAAATTCTGCTAGAATAGGAGATTCCAATAGAATTGGAGCTGAAATGAATGAACATAATGCATTCATTTATCATCAAAAATCTGTTGGAACAAATAATACCAGCGAAAAGTTCGTAAAATCATTATGATTTATTGAGATTATTTCGAATTTAACTAGTGTAATTCTTTTTAGGAACATTGAAGAAATATTTCAAATGCCCAAAGGTTGGGCATCTTCCACAAATGCTAAATTCAGAAAAAAGGGCGGGGAAAAGAATTAAAGTGAATGTTGTAGATTTTTTAAAACAATTTTTTTAAATGGAAACCTAAACCCCAATGATAAAATGATAGCCAAGGAGATGCATGAGGAACTGATGAGGTTCGCGTATCCTGAAATAATCGAAGAGGACCATGTGCCCAAAGTAACTACAATCCAAAACTAGATTGGTCGTTATTCTAGAGAATTTAATCAACAAGGAACATCCATCGTACTTGAAACTTTTAAAGCTGTGAGTTCTCCAAATGAAGAAAACTAGTAAGTATCTGTGCTTTATCCTATTCTGAATATCAAATTTGACAAAAATTCGTCAAAAATAGGGTTAAGAAGAATGAACATAAGCGTTCGTTTATCATCAAAAATCTGCTGATATGTGGGATTCTAATACAGTAATAGATCAGGTTGGCTATTGCTAACAAAATGGA